CTCTGGCTCAGTGCTAGTTTCCAATCACAGCAATGGGCATATTTGTTGGTCATGCATGCCTTTGATACATTGGCAGGGTGAAAGCATCCTAGGATGCTGATTTCACCCCATCTGATGAGGTTGTTAGAAAAGATAACAAAGAGAAATATCGCAATCTGTTGTTTTTAAGTTAAGACATTTGTTCTTATCCCTTCCCACCCCGCACCCCCAGCCATATGAGTATCTGCCTTGGTTTGACTAGTTGTTTTGTCTGTATCTCCAACTGGAAATCAGATGTTGAAGGTAAGGCACCGTTTTAAAGTCTGCTGAAGTTTTTACAGTGAAGTGACCTAAAACTAGCATGTTGAATTAAAGTAATTTTGAAAAATAACTGTGTTAATCTTAACAGATACATTTTTAAAATATATTTTAAGCTACTGTTCCAGATTTTGGTCTTGGGTAATATTTCATTCCCACGTTGTCCGAATGCTCAATCACCATCTCCCAAAGCAGTTACTCTATTCCGAACTCAAGAGCGGGAAATGTAATGTTGGTGAGATTTAAAGATGGGCTTAAAGCCAACCTTAAAAACTGTGACATAGACACCAAGAACTGGGAAGCCCTGGCCCTTTAGCACTCTAACTGGAGGTCAGCTGTGACCTGCAGTGCTGCAGGATTTGAAGAGGCACAAATGGAGGGCAAAAGGGAGAAATGTGCCAAGAGGCACGTCAAGCCAACCCTGACCGAGACCGACTTCCATCCTGAAACTGATGTCCTCACTGTGGGAGAACACAGAGATCAAGAATAGGTCTCCATAGCCACCTACGGACCCACTGCCAAGACACCACATCTGGAAGCCAATCATCCTCGAGCTACAAGGGATTGTATAAGTAATTGAAGCTACAGACTATAAATCACATCTCCATTGTGTCAATAATTGAAGGCAAGAATTATGTGGCCCTTCATATTGTTACTGAACTGTTGATGCCCAGCATAATCAGCTACACTGGTTCATGCGGATGGGAGTTGCAATTCAATAACATCTGGAGGCCTTCACAATTGCCGTCTGGAAGTAATCCGACCTTACAAACCGAATTCATAAAAACCTTGGACCTAACAAACCTTCAGAGTTTATTTATAGAAGAATCCTAAGTATTTCTATTGAAAGATGGGGCTTATTTGGGCTTAAGCCTCGTTCCAGAGTAAATGGATAAAGGAATGCAGTTTAAAATAATCAAGCCAGCAGTACTATTATAGTTCCTCTTGTTTTAAAACTTCTGTCAATCTAATACACGGAGAACAGCCAGTACCAATATGAACGGAGATATTTGATTTATACTGTCAACCCACAAATTGTTCATTATTTTAAGAACGCTCATGGAAACCAGTTACATACAAGGCCCAGAAAGCGTAGTCATGAACGACACAAAAATATTTTATACTGTCCTTGAGAGTGGGCTGCATTTTTTATATAAACATCACCTACATGATACTATTTGAGTCTTTTAAAACTCTGTGTCTATTTTTATTGGGAAGGCTCTGGTGGAGTCTCTGGTCCTAAGCTGACCATTTTTGGATGACTCTAGAGCAAAGCTGTCAAACTCATTTTCATGGAGGGCCACATCAGCTTCATGGTTGCCTTCAAAGAACTGTTGAATCCACAGATGGAAGACGTGGATACAGAGGGACAACTAGATTTTTAAATATATAGTTTATTAAAAATATATATATCCCACCTTTCTCTACCCTGATGGGGACTCAAGGCAGCTTTACGTATGGCAACCATTCAATGCCTTTGGACAACAACAGTTAGAATACACTTAAATTAAAACTAAAATTAAAATTAAATGTACATTAAAACATATAAAACATAGTGGCTTATACTCTTTAGTTTTCACCCAGTTCGGGTCCCCAGATGTTACTGAATTACAACTCCCATCACTTTTGATTATCTGCCACATGGATAATGTTTGGAAAAGGCATAACCTTTTGGAAAAGCATCTATAGCCTTTGGGGAAAACCAGAATTTTCAAAGTCTTTTGGAAAGGATTTTATTTATTGTATCAGGAGCTAACTAAGGGTACAGTTGCAATGTATTAAAACACACACAGTTTTAAAACCTGGCATTATATTAAATGTTATTTGACCAGTAGCTGGCCACTTGGAAAGGATGACCTCAGGAGATTAATTAGCATTCACATTATTTGGAAAAATCATAAACCTTTTGTAAAGTATGATCTTCCTGAGAAGAGCTAAAAATTCATTTGAGTGAATCTCTTCTTTAGTGGTAAACATCCACTAGCATTCATGCAAGGCAAAATAGGTTTCACAGTTGTTAGACTAATATGCCTGATTATCTCTTTGAACTGTTAGTAACAAAGATTATGCCAATGCACAAAATAAATAGCAAATTTATTTATTTATTATTTATTTCATACACTTGTACCTCACCTTTCTCACCTCGAGAGGGGGACTCACAGCAAGCACCATTCGGTACTGTCACAATCATAAAAACATTTAACAAATTCATTAAAACAACATTAAATAAACAGTTGTTAAAACACACCAGTTAAAACCAAAGTCCAGGTCAGTTCATTGTCACGCCAAATTGCTTATGTCTTCTTCTCACTTCTCTCACATCTTCAGAAGTGTTATTTCAGTTGCCCAAAAGACATCTACTCTCCCATAAAATATATTAGCTTTAAATCATGATCTCAAGAGACCAAAATAAGGTAGTCTTTGTTCAAAGTAACATAGCTGATTTAGTATAACAGTCACAAAATATCAAAACATACAGTATAAAACATACCATATGACAAAATTTCACAGGTTAAAATACATATAAAAATATAATTATACGTCTCCATAATTAAAAGTTATCTGTTATCAGCATCGCCACAAGGTAAACTTGATGGTAGTCTACTTTCCCTCTTCTCCATAGGCTAATTCACACAGATGAGTTTTTAATTGCTTCTTAAAAGAGAGGAGTGATGGGGCCGTTCTGATTTCTTTAGGGAGGGAGTTCTAGAGGGAACGGGCAACCACGGAGAAGGCCCCCTCTGTTGTTCCTACCAGCCATGCTTGAGAATTGGGTGGGACCGAGAGCAGGCCTCCCTCCGTTGATCACAGCGTCCTGACAGGTTTATACACGGGGATGCAATTTGTCAAATCGTCTGGGCCTGGACCATTTAGGGCTTTATAGGCAAGGACAGCACTTTGTATTTAGCTCAAAAGTGGAGCTGCCGTAGCATGGGAGTTATCCGCTCCCGGTTAGTAGTCTGGCAGCTGATCTTTGCACTAGTTGAAGCTTCCAAACTGTCTTCAAAGACAGCCCCATGTAGAGAGCATTACAGTAGTTCAAACGGGATGTAAGTAAAGCGTGGTAAATCATGGCCAGATCCAGCATCTCATGGTACGGATGCAGATGGCGCACAACTTTTAATTGTGTGAAGGTGCTCCTAGCCACTGCTGACACTTGGGTTTCCAGGGTGAACGATGAGTCCAGGATCACCCTCAAACTGCGAACCTGCATCTTCAGGGGGAGTGTGAAGCCCGTCAAACACAGGCTGTAATCCCATACTCTGGTCCGCCTTCTGACTGACTGGGAGTACCTCTGTCTTGTTTGGATTCAACTTCAATTTGTTGGCCCATTACTGATGTCAGGCACTGGTTCAGGACCTGGATGGCATCCTTGGCTTTAGTTGGGTGTCATCGGCATAAAGGTTATCTGGATTTTGATTTCTAGATATACGATGCTCGGGATACATAAATGGGGATGCAAAAGCCTTAGGATGCATCTTGAATGATCACTGTTTGGCCCCACTTGAACCGCCATGGTTCAATTAATGCTCTGGAATCATTGAATCATCGAATTGGAAGAGACCACATGGGCCATCTAGTCCAACCCCCTGCCATGCAGGAAAAACACAAAGTGCCCCTGACAGTTGGCCATCCAACTTCTGTTTAAAAGTTTCCAAGGAAGGAGCTTTCACCACACTCGGAGGCAGAGAGTTCCACTGTTGAACAGCTCGTACAGTCAGGAAGGGCCCTTCTAGACAGGCCCTATATCCCAGGATCTGAACCCAGGTTTTCTGCTTTAAACTGAATTATCTGAGACAGATAATCTGGGATAAACAGAAAACCTGGGATCGGATCCTGGGATATAGGGCCTGCTTGGAAGGGCCTGAATGTTCTTCCTAATGTTTAGCTGGAATCTCCTTTCCTGTAATTTGAGTTGTAATCACGGAGTTGTAATTTTGGTGAGACGCCAGCACTCTTTGGCAGAGAAGGCGAAAGACCTTGTGAAGGGTCAGCTCCCAAGACACCAAGGAGCACAATTTGAATTTTAAAAAAAATCTGTTCTTGCTTTGAAAGTGTTATTTCCTGTGTAATTGCGCGAGGCTGACTTTGGAAGTAGTTGTTCTACTCCAGAAACTCCAGATGTCCATTGAAAAAGTATAGCAAAATGTGCTGCGCGATGTCCCACGGAAAYAAAGTTTTTGTAGTTTGATAAACCCCCCCCCCCCCCCCATACTTTTATGATACAGGAAATGAGGAAATGACATTGACAACCGAGGAACAAAAGTCGTATTACATATTTCCATGAGCGATGGCAGTCAAAGTGGTGTTAAACTGCATACATTCTACAGCAGGCCTGGGCAAACTTGGGCCCKCCAGATGTTTTGGAATTCAGCGCCCACCATTCCTAACAGCCTGTTAGGAATGGTGGGAGCTGAAGTCCAAACATCTGGAGGGCCCAAGTTTGCCCAGGCCTGCTCTACAGTGTAGTGGAGGCACAGCTGGGATGCGAATCAGAGGATGTCCTGCAGGGGGCGCGCCAGAGCGCCTGGCTTTGCGCCGGGAGGAAATGATGCGCCTGCTGCTGCTGCTGCCGCCGCCGCCGCCTGGTTAATTACAGCCCCAGACGCTCATTGGCGGAGCCGGGAGCGGCCATGTCTGCCTCCCTCTTTCTCTCCAATGCAGCTGGGGAGCCCCTCCTCCTCCGCCTCCTCCTCCTCCTCCTCCCTTTCCGAGGGAGAAGCCAGCCCAGCCTGTGACCCCCTCCCTCCCTCCCTCTTCTCGCCTTCCTTCTCGCAGGAACTTTGCGCTCCGGCCAACTTCGCCTTGCAGCGGCTTCTTCCGTCTCCTTCCTTTCTTTCCAGCCGCAGAGCCGCCGCCAAGCCCATGGAGAGGCATTTTCTCCTCCTCCTCCTCCTCTAGCTGCGCCTGGGGATCCCGCCCCTGCTCTGCCTTTGTCTGCGCTGCTGCTGCTATGAGGAGGTAAGCTGGAGCGCCCCCCCCCCCCGCCTCCCAAAATCTGGAGCCCAAAGCCAAAGCCTGCTCTCCTTCCCAGCCCTTCCTTCTCAGCCCTCTTCTTCCCAGCTTTTTCCTTCTCTTGGCTTCTTCCTTCTCTCCTTCCCAGCCCTTCCTTCCCGTCCCCTTCCCAGCATTTCCCCCTTTCCTTCCCAACCCTCCCCTTTCCAGTTTTTTCCATCTCTGGGCTCCGTCCTTCTCTCCTTCCCAAACCTTCTTTCTCCTCTCCCTCCCAGCACTTTTCCCTTTCCTTCCCAGCCTTCTCTTTCTTAACCTTTTCCTTCTCTGGGCTCCTTCTTTCTCTCCTTCCCAGCCCTTCCTTCATCTTCCTTTTCCTTCTCAGCCCTCTTCTTCCCAGAGTTTTCCTTCTCTGGTCTCCTGCCTTCTCTCCTTCCCAAACCTTCCTTCTCCTCTCCCTCCCAACATTTTTCCCTTTCCTTCCCAGCCCTCTCTTTCCCAGCTTTTTCCTTCTCTGAGCTCCTTCCTTCTCTCCTGCCCAGCCTTTCTTTCTTCTCTCCTTCCCAGCTCTCTTCTTCCCAGCCTTTTCCTTCTCTGGACTCCTTCCTTCTCTCCTTCCCAGCCTTTCTTTCTTCTCTCCTTCCCTTTCCTTCCCAGCTCTCTTCTTCCCAGCTTTTTCCTTCTCTGGGCTCTTTCCTTCTCAACTTCCCAGCCCTTCCTTCTTCTCTCCTTACCTTCCCAGCCCTCTTCTTCCCAACCTTTTCCTTCTCTGGACTCTACTTCTCTTCTTCCCCACCCTTACTTACTTCCCAGCCTTTTCCTTCTTTGGGTCCTTTCTTCTCTCCTTCCCAAACCTTCTTTCTGTCCTTACCAGCCTGTCCTTCTCTCTCCTTCCCAGCCCTCTTTTCTCTCCTTTCCTTTCTCTACTTCTCTTCTTTCAAGCCCTGCCTTCTCTCATTCTTGTCCAGACCTTCCTTCTCTTCTCTTCAGCCTTTTCTCCTCTCCTTTCCAGATCTTCCTTCCTTCTTGCTTTTCTTTTCCTTGTGAGGGAAGAAGGGGAAGCTATGCCAATCCCTCTTTATATGATCCATTGTTATATATATTTAAAAAACAACTCAGTGCATGCCTTTTCTGCAGTGATTGCTGTTTTGTCCCCAGCTCTGTCTATGGAGGCGGTTTTTGTTTTTGTGGGCGCGCCTCTTTGGGAATCCTTCATTAAAAAATAAAATCTCTCTTTGGGCACATCTCTACTGTAGAATGAATGCAGACCGAAACCGCTTTAACTACAGTAGCTGAATGCTAGGGAATTCTGGGAGTTATTGTTTTCTCCTCTTTAGCAGAGAAGACTGGAAACCTTGCAAAACTGCACCTTCTATGTTTTCCATAGCACTGAGTTAGTATATAGTTTGGTGTGACGCCAGCACTCTTGGACAGAGAAGGCTTCCATGGCATAAAGTGGCATCAATCTGCTCTAACTCTATAGTGTAGATCAGGCATAGGCAAACTTTGGCCCTCCAGGAGTTCTAAAATTCAACTCCTAACAGCCGGCTGAGATTTCTGGGAGTTGAAGTCTAAAACAGTGGGTTGCTGTGAGTTTTCTGGGCTGTATAGCCCCCAGTGGTGCAGTGGGTGAAAGCGCTGAGCTGCTGAGCTTGTTGACCAAAATGTCACAGGTTCGAATCCGGGGAGCAGCGTGAGCTTCCACTGTCAGCCCCAGCTTCTGCCAACCTAGCAGTTTGAAAACGTGCAAATGTCAGTAGATCATTAGGTACCGCTCCGGCGGGAAGGTAACAGCGCTCCATGCTGTCATGCCAGCCACATGACCTTGGAGGTTTCTACGGACAATGCCGGCTCTTTGGCTTAGAAAGATGAGCACCACACCCCAGATTCGGACATGACTGGGCTTCATGTCAGGGGAAAACCTTTACCTATAGCCATGTTCCAGAAGCATTCTCTCCTGACGTTTCACCCTCATCTTATAGTAGGCATCCTCAGAAGCTGAGGGGTCTGTTGGAAACTCGGCAAGGTGGGAGAAAGAACTCTTGTCTGTTTGAGGCAAGTGTGAATGTTGCAATTGGCCACCTTGATTAGCATTGAAAGGCATTGTAGCTTCAACACCTAGCTGGTTGCTGCCCCGGGGGTCCTTTATTAGGAGGTGTTAGCTGACCCTGAGTGATTATTGTCCGGAATTCCTTTGTTGTTTGAATGTTCCTCTTTATTTACTGTCCTGATTTTAGAGTTTTTTAAATACTGGTAGCTAGATTTTGTTCATTTTCATGGTTTCCTCCTTTTTGTTGAAATTGTCCACATGCTTGTGGATTTCAGTGGCTTCCTTGTGTCATCTGACATGGTGGTTGTGAGAGTGGTCCAGCATTTATGTGTTCTCAAATAATATGCTGTGTCCAAGTTGGTTCATCAGGTGCTCTGCTATGGCTGACTTCCCTGGTTGAATGAGTCTGCAGTGCCTTTCATGTTCCTTGATTTGTACTTGGGCAATTTTGTGTTTGGTGGTCCCTATGTAGACTTGTCCACAGCTGCATGGTATATGGTAGATTCCTGCAGAGGTGGGAGGATCCCTCTTGTCTAAACTTTGGCCCTCCATTCCAAAACAACTGGAGAGCCAAAGTTTGCCCATGTCTGGTGTAGATACTCTCTTGTTTCCACCAGGGAGATCTATTCCAACTTTGGAAACTTGGCTGATTGAGGTGGAGCAAAGGCATCCTTTAATGATCTCGCCAAGCAAGGAGGGAGGGAAGAGAGGAAGGAAGGAGGAGGGAGGGAAGTAAATCTGTAAACTTTCCTCCTGACTTCCCTGCTGCTTCTGCTCCTCCTCCTCCTTTGGCTGGAGTCTTCACTCGCATCAAAGGCTGGAATGTGGGATTCATCTTGAGATGCCCACAGGGCAAGTGTGGTTACAGATGTTCCTCTTTCCCCTGCCAAGCCCGAAGCCCTGAAGCCCTTCCCCTCGTCTTCACTCTCTTAACTTCTGTGGAGGAGAGGCAGAAGAGGGAAGAGCTGGGAAAGGCAGAAATAAAGAGAACCCATTTGATTTCAACACAGAAAGCCACTGGTTAATTTGGAAATAGGTAGCTTGGTCTCATCTCTGGCCTACGGCAGATGAGACCTATAGTGTACTGCAAGCCTTGGTGTTTTGGTTTTTGTTTTATTGTCCTTTATGGGTTTCTGTGATTTCTGGTTCAAGAAATACCCATATTTAATCAAGTCTAATGCCCGTTGAATCTAGTGCGTACCTCAAATTTCAAAACTTTGAAACCAAAAAAGTAATTGCTGCCAAATGTAATGCAAACTGGCAAAAATGGCACTCTTTGTAATTTGACCAAAAAAGGCGTGCATTACAGTTGCATGCTTATGATGGAGCCCCCAGTTAAACCACGAAGTTGCTGAACCTGCTGAACAAAAGGTTGGTGGTTCAAATCTGGGTAGCGGCGTGAGCTCTCACTGTTAGCCTCATCTTCTGCCAACCTAACAGTTGGAAAACATGCAAATATGAGTAGATCAGTAGGTACCACTTCAGTGGGAAGGTGACTGTGCTGCATGCAGTCATGCTGGCCATATGACCTCTGAGGTGTCTATGGACAATGCCAGCTCTTCGGCATAGAAATGGAGATGAGCACCACCCTCCAGATTCAGCCTTGTCTGGACTTAATGTCAAGGGGAAACCTTTACCTTTACGCTTATGATTCCTTCTTTAAAAACAAAAATGTTCGAACACCAAAGCTTCCAGCAATGGAAAGGAAAACCTTGGGGAGCATTTGTGCTGTAGAACGAATCCAGGGAATCATGGGGGCTGTAGTTTTATAAGGCCTTAAGCGTTCTCTGACAGAGAATGGTGAAACCTCACTAAATTACAAATCCCAGGAGTGCATAACATTGAGCCATGGCAATTAAATGAGATATGATGTCCTCCAAATAGGAGCTTCTGAAAGAGCTTCCCTTTTTGCTTTGGCTCAGCACTAAGATTGCCATATTATGCGAATCTAGCGCACATCTTAATTCTGACACATCTTAATTTAGCCAAAAAAGGTGAGCGTTAGATTCGAGTAAATAGGGTACTTTGGCTACATCAAGAGCTTGGGCACTTGCTTGGCTGCCTTTCCATCATTTTTGTGGGGAATATGTTGAGGTGAAATGTTTTGTTCCATGAAGGCACACAGTTTTGGTCTTTTCAGGAGTTGTAGTTATGCACAGACTAATAGTGGAACAGATCTAGATGTTTTGTGACACTTGGCTGCATGTACACTGTAAATTCATGCAGTGTGACATCACTTTAACAGCCATGGCATAATGCCATGGAGCCTTGGGAGTTGCAGTTCTATGTGGTTTTGTTTGCCTTCTCTGCTAGTTCCTTACCAAACTACAACTTCCATGATTTCATAGCATTTAGCCATGACAGTAGGAGCCCCCGGTGGTGCAATGGGTGAAACCCTTGTGCCGGCAGGACTGCTGACCAATAGGTCAGCGGTTCGAATAAGGGGAGAGTGGGTTGAGCTCCCTCTGTCAGCTCCGGCTCCCCATGCGGGGACATGAGAGAAGCCTCCCACAAGGATGGTAAAACATCAAACATCCGGGCATCCCCTGGGCAACATCCTTGCAGACGGCCAATTATCTCACACCAGAAATGACTTGCAGTTTTTCAAGTCGCTCCTGACACAAAAAAAGCCATGGCAGATGATGTTGTGTGAAACCTTGTTACCTCTGCAGTATAGATGCACCCTTGGACTTCATATGCTTCAGTTGTAAGAAATTTATTTTGGATTTAATTTTTTCACTCGGAGGGCATTGTTTTCTTTTCCCCTGGGGAGATGGGGCAGGGTATAAATAAAGATTATTATTATTATTATTTTCTGTCAACAAATATACAAACATTATTTGCCTACTTAGATATTTTTCATATACAAAGGAAAGTCACTCTATGCACTTGTCCTTTGTACAGCCACACTTTGAATATTGTTGATTGGAAGAGTGCTTTCCCCCAGTCATTTACCTGT